GCCCCCGCCCCCAGCCGCCTCCCGGCGAGCACCTAGGCTGCACGCGCCACGTAGACTGCAGGTGCACTGGGACCGCTTTTGTACCGTCCGCAAAAAAAAAGTGGGCAGGTGCAAAAAGGCGTTTAAAAAAAAAACTTCGTTCCAACAGGGACATTCGCGCCAACCTTCGTTTTGCAAGAGTATGCGTGCCTCCGCCGCTCCCTTGAGACCGCGTGCGGGATCCCCGCCCAAGGCGAGGTGGCGCGCGCTGGTATCAGCGAATGCACCCGGAGCGGGCTGCTAGCCAGGCGCGCTCCCATACTCGAGAGAGCATGGGTTCGCGTCGCGAAGCCGTAGCCGCTGAAGGCCGGGTTGTCCCTCAGCATTGGCTCGTGCAGACCACCGCGCCGGGAGTCGCACCAGATGACCGGCGCCGGCTCGACCTTGTCATGTATGGCGCGTCTCGGCGCGGCGGAGCGCTTTGCTGCGATGTAACCCTGGTGTCGCCGTTGTGCGCAGACGGGCGCCCGCAACCGGGGTTGTCGCGCTCGCCGAGGCCGAGCAGCCCTCCAGGCTGCCGCTCAGGGCTTGATGAGCAGGCAACGGATACTATGGATACTGTAGCAGATAAAGGAGCCCAAAGTCTGGCAAGCCGTAAGAGTCGTATGCATTGAACATCCAACCAATCTCACACACCCTGAACCGCTACAGCCGGGGCCCTGCGGGGCCACATGAGCCGTCTGCCCCATTGGTACATGCGGACATCCATGCTTCGGAGCTGCGTGTCTGTATGAAAAATTCCATGCCGAGGCTGGCCAAACAACATCGTGTAGAATTGGAAGCTGCGATCAGTAAAACACATAGGCGAATGCTCCGACGAAGTTGCTGTCCAGGAAGGGCATGCTGCAGTGGCTTTCACCATGTGCTAGCGACTGATCGGCATGCTTCCTCCAACTTTATAATTTTGTTGCAAAGCAACCCCTATGTAGGTGGTTTGCACCATCGGCACATGGGCTCAAACGCGGCGAACACGACCGCCTCCTGCAACGCATCCCGCCATCGCCTCGCGAACACAGCGGGCATCCGGCGCCGCCTTCCAACGCGTCAACACAGGCGGGCAACGCGCGAGCAGCGCGCTTGCCCACGCGGCCCTCGTCATGCGCAGCGGCATACCCTGGTGACTCGGACGGGGGCCTTGTGCAAAGCGCATGGTTGTCCGGGCGGGGGGGCGCGCGCTCATGGCGAGGAGCAGCCAACTGCGTTGCAGGTCCGGCAGGCGGGAAACAAACTGGTGTGCATAGTTGTGGTGGCAGCCTCGTTTGCGTGGAAATTGGCCGGACCAAGGCGCAATGACAGTACTCCGCAGCAGGCGGCACTCATAGAGAAGTGGCAGCCACTCCCGAATGGGCCCGATGCGCCAAGCGCAACTCAAGCATACGTGAGGTGTGGTCATCGCTTGCTTGTCGGTCAGTTCCATGCAAGGTGGGCTTCGCCGCGTCTCGTGAGCGGGGGGCGATGGTGGCATGCGACGACCTCCATGCGCCGCTCGTCCGCGACAGGCACGTCGAGGTTCATGTCGGCGAGCTTCACGCGTCGTGCGACCCTGGTGCCAGCCAGCTTCGCGGCAGACCCCTGCAACGGCGTGCTCGGCCAGCCATGCGGTCGGCCGCCGCAAGATGTCCCAAGCGCAGCGCTTCCGCGTGCCCTGCCCCACCCCCCTGCTTCAGTGCAGTGATCCACCCCTGGAATGCGGCCGAGCGGCGCCGGGTGACTAAGCAAGCAGCTTCGCCGCCGACATTTTGTCGTCCGTGCTCTCATTGCAATAGAGGCCGAGCATGGCCGAGCCGCTTATGCCCATGTTGTGGTCATTGGTTGCGTGTTGGCGACAAGTCGGCTTTTACTATAAGTTGCAGACCCGTTTTTGTAAGAGGGAACACAAAAGTCGCATCACAACAAAGCACGTGTCGTTCCCATGCAGCTCGTGAGTTCTGGGCGGGGGGGCGGAAGATGAGCTGCTCGTCACGGGAACATGAGCATCTCGAGACTGGAGCGGCCGGTGCTCATTCGTTTGAGCATGCCAAGCATGCCCACCTCGCATGACCTGCGCACCACGCTGTGCGTCAGCAGTGGCGTAGGATGTACACGGGTTCCCCCCCTTTGTCGCTGCACTAGCAGACCGATTCCGCAAGCGAACTTTGCATGGATAAATCACTTGAGATCCGAAGCAATTTAGAGCGTAACTATGTTGTGTGTTCGCCAGGTGCTCCTTGCCGGCCGACGGATTCCAGTAATCGGCGAGGCCACGGGAAAACATCAGTATTAATATGATATGTGTCAGTTGAGGAGTCGTATGGACTCGTTCTAAACTGTTCACATGCAGTACAATGGGAACATAGGGGTCGTGGGCGTCGTATGAGGTTGTATGTTGGTCGTCAGGTGGTGATCGGCAATTGTCAGTCTTCGTCCTTGTTGTTGTCGCCATCGGCGTCGGCGTGGTCGGCTCGTCGTCCTCGTTGTCGTCCTCGTTGTCGTCGTCGTTGTCGTCGTCGCTAGTTCTTGTCGTTGCTCCCTTTCGACAGTATGGTTTCGGGCCACACTGACAAGCGGCTGAAGCAAAGTCTGGCCTACCGTGCGGCAGGCAAACATCAGCCTCGCATTGTTGGACCGCGCACTTGCGTTCGTTCCTTTCAAAACATGGTTGCTTGGCTTGTCAATCCGGCATGCCTGCATGCTGCATCTCCTGGACTTCCTGGTTACATTCACTTCCGGGTCAAACCAAGGCTCTCAAAGTTGGAGCGCAATTCTGAGCCTTGCCAGCAGCTGTGTTTTCTCCCCAAACCAGCATGTCTGGCTGGGGCACAGGTGCCCGAGTTCATTTGGTTTTGAGATATGGGCGATTACTTTGTTTCGTTGAGGACAGTTTTTCGTTGCACCGAATTTACATCCAATCCGTTGATCTGTTCGGCAATCGCGTCGGTCCCTTGCCAGCATTGGCGACTGACACAGCATAGAACACAATAAACCTAAACGTGCATGTCTGACGAGCAACATTCTGGCACTGCAGGTTTTGTGAAATTGAAATCTGAAGTCACTGATCGAGATGGGGACTCCCTGGCAGGCCTGTTGTCATTCAGTCGTTCTGTAAGTTGAGGGTTCACGCAGATGTCGGATTTTTTACAACTGGACCTTCGGCAGGGCTGTAGTTTGTTTGGCCTGCTCAGGTATCTGTTTTTTGCGGGGCGGCTCCGTCGCCGTTCTGGTGATTCTGGAATGTGCAGAGGACGGCTCTGAGCACTGCGTACAAGTGCAGATTGATAACGTCCTTTGTCCAGACGAACCTTTTTTCCACGGTGTTGCTGTAGTAGCTGCTCCTAGAAACTGTTTTGCTGCTTGCATCATGGAGCTCAGGTCTGCACCGCGCAGCCCAGGAACATGGCTCTTCCTGCCGGGATGTTGGATGGTGGCTGGGCCGTGACGGTTCTGTCGCGTTGTGTGCTGCCCTGCGGTTCTTGTCTGCAGCTAATTGCCAGGAAATGGTGACTTCAGTGGGGCCATGGCCCGGGAAATGGAAGAGGAGACTGGCATTAAATGTTCCGTCGTTCGCAACATGAAAGCATTTCTTGTTTTTAAAGGATTGCCGGAAGAAGTCCTGCCAGCTGTCAGAGACAGCGTGCAGGCTCCCCTCAGTCCCAGTGGGCCCAGGTGATGCAGCAAACTTGGTTGACATGACTGCCCTCGCCTACGGGGAGAAGTTTGAGGGTATGTACCCATCCGTTGGCGCATGTGATGAATTTATACGCCTTTTCCTTTTCAAGAGAGTCATGTGCCATGGCTGCAGCGGGGCGGGAGAGTGGCTTTTGCGAGCTGCATTGCGCAACCCGAGCCGTAGCGCACGAACGGACAGGCCTCAGCGGGACATCGCAGCTCTGGAAGGAAGGCTTATGGGTCTTCGCGAGGAGCACGAGAAGATACAGTGGCTGAGCGAAATGTCGGTCGTTTCCGATGTTCCGAAGCCGGGAATTCCGGCAGGTCTTGGTGAGGTCATGCTGACCTAAGGCATGCTTGGCACGAAGAAGCTGCATTCAGTCATGTGGTACGGCAGATCCGCTTAAATGGCTGCCTAGCTCGTTGTTTGAGGCTGTGCCTGGTTCCGTTGCCGCTAAGCTGCACAGCTGGAGCTGGAATTGAATTCTTCATTTACATCTCCTGCAGTTTTTGGCAAGCATCAGTGCAACGGCGCGATGGTGCTGAAAACTAGCTTGCGTGATGCGTCTCATGACTTTCGCAATTGCACTGCGAGGAAAGACCTTTGGCGGCTGTCTTCAGACTCGAAGGCATGGTTCAGCCGGTTCATTTCCGACTAGTGGGATCCAGCATCTGTGGTGATCGTGTTTCATTCTGTGGCTCGGGGTTTTTCACCGAACGGGTGTTTGTGTGTGGTTCCGTGGCTTGCAATGTCGATTCGTCCAATGTTGCTTGGGGGCACGTCTTTCGAGGTCCAGGTCTCTTTCCCGAAGTGGTGTCAAGCTTGTGTGCCTAGACATGGTTTGCTCAGGCCTTGTGTGCCCTTCTCCTGTACAACAAGCTGAAGGAGACCGGCCAATTGGTTCCTTGAGATGTACGTCTGAGCGCGCAAAAACCAAAACTAGGTGATTGGAGCAGCTCCTCGACTCTCCACGCGTTTGCAAACGCAGTTGTTGGCAAGCGGCTGGACACCGAGCATGCGGGTCCCAAGATGCCCTGAGCCCTCGCAGTCCTCGCGGCGGTTTGCAGCCTGGGGGTTGCCAGTGGCGGTGAAAAAGAGCTGAGTGAGGGTTTAGCCGTGATCAGCTTGTCTAGAAGGTTTCCGGCAAACTGTGGGTACTCTGTGGCTTCGAAGTTGGCTTAGATTGCAAGCCCCCGCCAAAAGTAGGGGAGCTCTGAAGCATTGGATGGATGGCAAATACGCCGTGCCGGCCTTCCTCGATGTTAAATCGAGGGATGGCAATCTCAACCTGGTGCTGTGCGTGGTGAGCTGCTACAGCTGCACACAGTCGAACCAAGGGACCCTACTCGTAGCTTTTTTTGGGCCTTTGTTTTTGTCGCGGGGCTGCGGGGGTGAGTGGGGCGGGGGGCTGGGGGTGGGGGGGTTGGGGGGCATAAAGGAAAGCTCTAAGGAAGGAATTAGGTTACGTTGCGTTATGTTTGTGTTGTATTGTAACATGGATTAACAGGGTAGGCTGCGTATCCCCAACGATGACGGGAGGCAGGAAGACTGCGTATCTATTCTTCTATTAGAATACAGGGTGGCTATCATAAACAAATTAAGCTTGTACGATCTTTATTCCACGCATTTCCACGCAGTATGTACAGCCTTCTTGCATTCCTGATGGAATTAGGATTGTTCTTATCACGCCTGGCAGTACTGGCCTAAATGCTTGAGGCGGATAGCCAAACAAAGTGCACGCTTTCGTTATGTAACACGTGGAGCAGCCACGATACTCAGCGTCAAATAAATAAGTACAATACCGCAGAGCCTCAGACACTAGTATATTTTTGGCGTTAGATTACCCTATAGATTATGTTACGACTCATCATAAGAAATACTGAATCACATTACTATGCATGGCTACACCAGATTACGCCATACTATGTATACGGCAAAACGGAACGTGTTACATCAAGTCAGGCGGCATTCCCCAACGATGATGAATCCAGGCAGGAAGACTGTGCATTCAAGGCGTCGTTGGTTGTGAATATCGCTTCGCGCTAAACATTGAACCTATTATGGCGATGTCTACGACAATTTTTCTAGTTGTTATTGAGGCTACTGTTACTATGGCCCCCTCTGAACCAGGGGATACTCCAACCTCCCCCACCTCCCGAAAACCTACTCGACCTCCAACCTCCCCCACCCACCCCAAGCCCCGAAACTCCCGGCAATCACAAGAACCTGTCAAGCGTTAGCAGAACGAATTGTGATGCCCAAGGATGCATTCCGGGTACCTGCCGAGGTTCCGCAGTTGCCGGCATTGGAATTGGCTTATTCGGTTGCCTGCTGTCTGCAGCTGATCACATCAGGCGCGGCAGAAGGCACTGACCTGACAGTCAGGTTTGCGTAACTGTGGCTTCTGCCTTTGTCAAGGCGGCGCAACGGTGGACTGCACACAGTGCGCAGTCGCTTTTTCTCCTGGTGACTGGGATGTTGAAAGCAGCTGTTGACATGGTGATGCGAACATGTTGGACGGCATGCTTGCAAGTCGAAACTATACGTTTTAATGTGATTGGATTCAAGGATTGGTATGATTGGCTCCGTGGTCTTTGGCTTAGCTTCGCTCGTCGGTCTGGTTTTCGGCTCGGTCAGCTTGGCCACAGTGGTGCGAGCTGGATCGACGCTGCCGGCAAACGCCATCTTCAGCCTGGGCCTCTGTGAGCATTTGTTGCGTCGGCAGTGGGTCAGCACACTGTCTCTTTGAAAGCTTTCTAGTGCGGCTCGCATACCGACCATCTCCAGGTCAAATGTTTGGTCTGCGACCGCTGGTACGGGATGATGTCCTGGGCACTTTGGTAACCATCTCAGGCACGGATCTTACAGTGGCGATGGCATGAAACCGTTGAGCTACGCATATCTTTAGATTTGCACGCAGGCGTTTCCGTGTTTGCGTTCCTCTGCAAAGCTTGAAAGTCATTCGCAGGCATTATCAGCTTCACCATCTTCCAAGGGTGGTCTGAGTATCAGCACGATCAAAGTGAGTACCACTGCTGCAAAGTGTTGGTACATCTCATCTTTCTCTAGAAAGTGTGTGCAACACCTGAGGTTTCTGGCTCGGATGTTTGCTCCGGGGTCCATCGTCTGGATGAGCCTCCTGTTCATCCTGCAAGCCCTGTCGAGCTGCTGGCTGTATTTTCACAGGAGAACTCTTCGCGTCTTTCACTTGTGGACTCATTGTCGTGCATGCTGACACAGGAGCGCGAAGCGAGACAGTTCTGCTCTTAGTACAGTACATGCCAGAGGGGGCTGTCGCACAGAGGAACAGGGCATGGACTTTGCTAAATTTCGCTGGCTTGCATCGAGGCCGGGAGTATGCGGCAGCGGCTCGGTGCCGCGCTGTGGCGGCCACATTGATCTGCTCGTGTTCGCGGCCTGCTGTGCAGTATGGTAGTGATGGTGGTTAACTGTGAATGCGACAGGTGCAGCGAAGGTATGTCAAGGCACGTTTAGTAACTTGCAAGAAGCTCTGGTATTGTAGTTTTTGGAGGCATTGGGCCCGTGGGCCTCCCGAGAAAAAGACATAGTAGGATGTCCACTGTGTAAACTTGATGAAATGGTGATTTGCCATGTCCCAGGTCAGCTTTTATGGACTTGGCAGCCAAGGGTTGGTCATCCTCTTCCAAGGTCCTGTCTGGGCTGTTTGAGGCATGAGGCGGAGTGCTGCGAGACAGTCTCGTTGTACCAGCAGGTCTCAGCAAGTGGTGGTGGGGTGAGCTTTGGTCTGGCATCGCCCACCTTCTGGACAGCGCTGTCTTTGAACGTCGTTTTCCTGATCCTTATGCCCCTGGCCTGCACTAAGCCAGCCACAAGACTCCTTGCTCATGGATGGCGTGCTTCGACTAGCCGGGTCTTGAAGTTGAAACGATGTGATTGCGTGAGAATTGCATTCGCCTTGTTGGAGCGTGCGGCGCCCTGATGAAAGCCGGGACCTTGGTTCAGCTTGTAGGTCGCAGATGCAGTGCTGTACCTGATCCCTTGAAGCCTGCCAGAAGATAGCACAACTCTGCATCGTGTCCGGTGACCCAAAAACGAGAGGAGCATGCTGCCAGACTGATGCTCGTAGATTGTAGAAATTTCCGGTGCTCCAAATGCACTGCTTGTCCTTATGAATTATGGGTCTTCAGTTCTCTAGCAGGGAGGGCGGAAGAGCGGAGAAAGTTGAACTTTGATTTAAACTCAGGAGATGGTCAACTATCTACGGTTGCCGACGCCACTTGGCTGCCCAGCTCCGGCGAAGCCGATTTGCAAATGGCTGACCGCTCAGGATGTGATGTGCTCATATTTGTTCCCTTGAACACAACAGCCAACATCATCCTCAGTGTCGCCTCCGGCATGATTTGCCTTTCAGACGCTCGGTGAATTACTTATGTACTCTGCCGACACGGACCGGTTTCCGAAAGTGTGCACCAGGAGTACAAGTCCGTGAAATCTTGGCCGGGTCTTTGCACTGCTGGGCTGTCCATGCTGTGTGGCATTTTCATGCTCGTCACCGGGCCGGCTGAGACCATGGAAGCCTGAATGCAATTAGCCGACTTAGAAATCATAGAATGCCGGGAACGACCGCCCAGGGAACTCTGCGAAGTCCATCCAGCCTGGGATGCTGTTAAGGCTGGAGCTGGGATGCCCTGCAACAGCTGGATCGAGCACTTGGGCTGCACGTGGGCCTGATGCAGATATTCTGAGGTGCAAGTGTGTGGATCATTGTACTAGGCCGGCAAAGATCCACGGGATCCTATGGTTGGTACAGTAGCTGCGGGCTAGTGACTACTGACAGCCCCGTTGCGTTTTTCAACTTGCGAATCAGCCTCGTAAGTTACACGTAGGTTACAGTCGGCAAGTTTTGCTGCGTCGATCGGCGGTTGGAGATGCGGTAGTTCGTTTGAGGGGCCGTTTTTGTAATTCTGTGTTGTTTTGTTTTTCAGCCTTTCTCGCGCCAGCATGCGAAACAAAAGGCAAGGCTCGCCTGGTGACTGTAACGTTTGGTTTCTTTTTCGCAACATCTGTGTCCGGCCCTTTAGCCACACCGCTGTCCCTGCTTTGCGGTATGATGCAGTAGGAAGGAAAAGTTCTCACTAACATTGCCATGACTCGCGTTTTCAATTCACCCCGGTGTTACCGGGAAAGCCAGACGGGTATAAATGGTATAAGCTGTATCCGAAGCTTTTTTCTCCATATTTTCATCGGAAGAGGTGCAGGAGGCCCGCTGAAGAAGACAATGCATGCTTCTAAAACTTATTTCTTAGGTCGTGCTAAAGCAAACTCAGGCCGGCTGAAGTGCATTGAGGCTCATTTGCGGGTTTCCGGCATTTGAGGTCGCCAGATCCGACTAAGAGTCAGTCCAGGCGAGGCTGTTTTGCTGACAACCATAATGTCTGCTCAAGCGTGAACCTGTGACTGTTCACGCTCTTGGTGTTGGAGGCCCGAGACTCAAACGCGGCGGACGTTGAGCCCCGTTGATCTTTCGCCAGCGACCTCCCCGGCGAGCTCTCATGACAGACACGCGCCTGCAATTGATGCTTTCGAGCCTTTTGATAAACCAAAGAAGCCGGAAGTGATATGCTCCAGGGTGTTCGGAACAAGGAGTGATCCCCCGGGAGAGATCAGCCGCTCGTCTGCCTTTGGAGAAGACTTTCAGCGCAGCCGGTGCGATTGCTCAGAGGTCACATTACCGCCCCTCCCCCTTCGCGAAAATAAGGCAGAAGGGGAAATCTTAGGGGATGCTGCGGTAGGAAGAAAGAAAGTTCGTCGCACTCTGTATGCCGCTCTTGAACA